TTTTTATTGCAGTGCCTAATTTACAAAAATTTCAAATTTAGAAATAATGCGAAAATGTAATTGCTGTTGTAGTATCTCTATTTGAAAGAAGTTTCGTTCAACTCTCTGGACTTTCGAAAATTACAATTTTAGAAATATGCGAGAAAGTACATGATAAAATACCTGTAATTATATAGGTGGTCTTGTTTTACTGCGAAAGACAATATTGCATCATTCAAAATAAAATATTTCCTGACCTTTCTTCAAATAATAGAATAAAAGTAAACTCATATCCGGAATTTCGGTTTCAGTCTTTAACAACACATAAATCAACAAGTGGTGCCACCGAATGGCACATTTTCTTGTACTATTTAGTTTTCTAATTTCTTCGGTATGGGCTAGCTTTCCGGTCTTGTCCCATCCTATTGCCAGGACCTAGGTTTCGCCATCTAAACTACATTTAAAAATGTTCTTAATTTTTCGTTTTCCTAACGGGGGAAACGCAATGCTTGAAGAATACACAGGGGAACAATTTTTTGTTGGGAGCTGTGAATAACAGTGTTTGTGTACGTCGATTTTCTGAAAATATTGAAAGTATGTTTTCTTCCAGATAAGCGTATATTCAGGTCTAGGAAATTGATTGATTTGTATTCTTTCTGTAGTTCTGCGGTGAATTGAATAGTAGGATGTATGTTGTTGAGGAAGTCATTAAACAGGTCAATTTGAATCTTCCCAAGCTGGAGGGCGAGATCCGGCGCCGACCTACATTCGGCTAATGGGGTTTTCGCCAACCATGTATCTCCCACCAGTGGGGCACCGCCCCAGCTCTAATCTCCCAACCGGTCTCCTTGCATGTGTGGTAGTGAAGTGCATCTAAGTGTAAGTGGGTGTAAGTAAGGGGTGAGGATAGGGGGAAAAGATCGCTTGCGGTCAGTGGCACCTTTTGTTAGGGTACTGTTCCGGCATTCGCCTGGTGATGATCGAAGAAAATACCGAAAACTACTGATCAGAGCAGCCAGCCGCTAGATTTCTCCTCCAGACAGCAACTGCATGAGACCCAGCTGACTAGATAATATCGAAGAATCCTGCCACCGTCGTAACTCGAACCTAGGACCCCTCGCTCAGAGGCGCTGCAGTGACATCAGTTGAAGCCCTGACCAACCTCTTCCGTTCGAACGTACGGATACAAAAAAGTAAAAGCAAATTAATATAGTGCTAACTCTATTTTAATATATTATTTCTTTTAAGCACATGCACGTGATGACTAGATGCACTGCTACACTGTATGAATCTAGAAAGAACATCTTGCTGCCCTTAGATCTTTCACAAAAGAACTTGAATAGCAACTCTTGGGTTTCAACATATATTTTCTTTAAACATTCTTTACAAATATTTTAAACGATTGTCTGCTTTTTCTTCACTAATAGTATAGGACTCACTTGAATATAGTCTCTTAAACTATCATTTAAATTTGATTCACAACTCACATTGCCTCTTAACACATAAACTGTCATCTGGGACCGTATGGTCTTGTAGAGAGATTCTACTTGTTTCACACGAGACCATATGGTCTCTTAGGGATATAAAATTTTCTTTTAGTACGCGACCATATGGCTTCGTAGGTATATTTAATTTTCTTTTAGGACGAGACCATATGGTCCCATGCGTTGGCTTGTCTCTTTTATGATAATACTCGATAGTGCTTCCACCTATCCGCGAATTATCGTAGGTAATTTCACGAGTGCTTTGGAAATTTTCGATAAAACTTATATAAATAAACTTATGCAAGGCCGCGTCACGTAGTGGGGGCGGCAGGAGCGGCCCGCCCCGGGTGGCTTTTTGGGGGCGGCAAAGTTTCACAATACATAACAATAATATCTTGCAAAAATTTGAATAATTTCATGTCATTTTTTTTGTCGCACTTACGATTCGGGCCGATTAAAATGAGCATGGAATCTTTCATACCTATTCTGTGACGACGTCTTTAAAATAATATTTAATATCATCTTGCTCATTGTAGCTTATGGCGACACAGTCTGTACCGACTTGTAGGGATTCCTCGTATTTTATCTTGTCCTTGGATTGTCTATGACGAATATTCAGTCAGAATGACTTCTCTCATATGAAGAATAGAGTTCAATATTATATAATATCTGCAAATTAGATTACAGTATGGATAAGATCCTTAAAGAAAGTCTGTGAGTAATGCTTTGGCAAATGAAAGAAAGTTTCATTTATGGATCGTCAGTCGTCCAATTCACTTTAACTAAGTCGTATATATGTATGCGCTTTCGAAACTGTGATTTTAGTGCGCATAAGTACGTGTGGTGATGATTAAATTTATGAAGTTTGTTGAAAAATTGAATTGTTCGTGTACGTATACATTCATCTATGTGAATATTAAATATTTTATTTACGTTTTTTTATTTATGTAATTATATGTTTGCTATCTGCTACGTTGATATAGTATCGTAGGCTTTCACGGCCAGAGTCAATAACCGAGAAAGTTTCCGGGCTAGTAGGCCGTGGTCCAGTTGCCGTTAAACTGCCCGACATTTCGTCCGAGACTGTGGTGGACATCTTCAGTGGCGGCCGGGTCTCCGTCGACCAACTTTTGCAATTTTCCAAAAATAAGGGATTTTAACGAAACACAGACATTGTGCGTGCTTCTTTTTTTCTTTTCTTTTTCCCCTTTTCTAAGAATTTTGTATGGGCATATGATTTGTATTATTATTACAATAAATGAATAGGTGGAAGTGGATTAAAAGAATGTTACCTTCTGAAGATTGAGATAACGTGGAGCGGGGAGTGTGACGAAGACGGACGGAAGCTGGAACGGTAACAAGTGCGGCGAGCGACCTGGTAGCGATGGCCTTCGCGGAGACCTCGCGATCCGTTACTTCTCCCCCTCCCCTCCGCCCCCCCCCCCCGCTGCGCCTCGCGGCAAGGCACTCTCATTCCTTCGCGATCGCCGTTAGGGCGAATCGATTTCACACGCGAGAAGACTCACTTCCAAATTTACACAGAAAACGCTACATCCAAGCAGATTAATGTAATAATTATATAATACCAACTGGACCCCTGCGAAAACTTGCTACTTTGTAAATCATTCTCTCCAAAGTGAAAATACCTTGATAGTGAAACCCAACTATGAATGGACGGGTTCTGAACAATACGTTTCAGCATTATCGACCAGGTACTGTGCTCAAGTAACCATCCTATTATTGCTAAGCGATGTGATTAAATGGACACAAAACCAAAAAAGTATCATAATTTGTGAAATATTATTTCTATATTTTTTCTTTAATTTAATTTTACGTATGATATTTGGTTTCTGGTCATTCACGCTATGAAGTAACGACATACAGAAAAACTAAATCCCCAAAACTGTAATAGAAGGTCTCATTTTGCATAAAAACCTAATTTCGGCCACACCTGTTTCACGTCATTTCTCCAACTGCCCCTCACCTTTTGTCCCAAAACTTCCACACAAACTGCCCTTCCACTCAAAACTCGTGTTCCTTTAGGAAAACGAAAACCTGTTTTTCAGAACGCATCGTTTGAGAATGATTATTATGTGTGTTGCATCTGTTTTGTTTACCACATTCGGCATACTTCTATTTTTTTGCCTTAAATCTGTTGGATCCACAATTATAGAGTAATTCCGTATCTTTCAGAAGTACACTTACAGGATTTTGTGCTCATGGTTTTTAATAATTTGTCATTCCTTAACATGCCATAGACAGAGGATTATACGACATTACAAAGTAATTAGAATCGACGAAATAGAAAAACTCTTACATTACCTTTTTTGCATACTGCTAACGCAATATAAAAGTAGTGGGACTGCAGGACACACTTTCTCGCGTTATTTCTAACCTTTTCCCTTAAGTGTTGTGTTCGTGCACGGGAAAACGGCGAATTTTTGACCGAAAAACTTTTATTGCCGGGCACTGGTAACAAAAAATGGATAGATCTTGTTCCTTTGTTTGGTAAATTACAAGTGCGTCGTCCAAATGTCCACTCAAAATGCCAACATTAGCATGGCGTTAACATAAAAGTTAAGACTACGTCCATAAGCGGACTTATTCACAATGCGTTCGCATAAGCATAATACGTTAACTTAAAAGCGTGCAAGATTCAAGCTTCTGTACTTATGACATAAGAAATGCACCAATCACAGTACGTTAGCTCAAAACCGAGAATGGAAATATGAGCGAAGTCTATAGACGAACTAACGCCATATGGGCAATGGAGATAATAATAATAATAATGTAATTTTATTTCGATAATTCTAATTTTAGCTTTGAAGATGATCGCTATTCGATCGAAACGATCATAAACAAGATAAAAATGTTTGATACCAGACAACACTTTTAATTGACCATATTTCATAGAAGGTCACCAGTGATCTAAGTAATTAATATTTCTAATTGTAATATGTAAATTGTAGTGTTCTGCGATCACGTTGTATGAACCTACCTACAGAAATAATAAATCTATCTATTACCCTAGTATTGAAACGTAGTATTTTTTGACTTTGTAACTTTGACATTTTGTTTAACAGGAAGCATGCGTATAATAAAATAATCAGACTCTTTTTATTGTTTAAGAAAGCAGCTTTTAGGCCGGAAAGTCGATCTTGGAACTGATGTTAACGCAGATTGTGAATACCCTTACACCAGTTTTCCCAAAAAATCGGTCCTTCTGTTAGTTTTCGAAGTCGAAGTAGTAATATTTTTCCCAAATGAAATATCTGTTATTGAAAAGACTGAACACTACTCCTCACGAATTTTGAAATAACTTCATATTCATATTTAATTTTCAATATTTCTCAAAAACTACTAATTTTCTTTTAATTAATTTGTCGAAAATAGACAAAAGCGCACCTAATAATAGTGAAAGAATCGGGAGTTAAATGAATCCGTTATAACTTAAATGTTGAGGATCACCAACTCATCTCATTTCGTTTTGCTCAGAAGAGTCAGTTGCCTTCGTAATAGCCTGAATAACTTTTGCAGAAGCCGAGGCCATGGCGGACGACGGCCTGGGCGCGGCGTGGAAGCTGTGGCGGCGGCGCCGCTACCTGGTGGCTCTGTTGGCCTTCCTGGGCTTCTTCAACGTGTACGCCCTGCGCGTCAACCTCAGCGTGGCCATCGTCTCCATGACGTCCAACAGGACCGACGGCCCCAACATAATAGTAGGTGCACGCACGGACCTCTGCAGGAGATGCGCGTACAGGGTAGAAGCAGGGAGTAAAGACTTTGTGAAAGTCGTCCAGATGGATCAGGGTATCAATCGATATCACTGTAGTGCCTCTGACAGGGAGGTCGCAAGGGTCTGATACCCGACGGTGGCAGGATTTTCGAAACTAACGACGTAGCTAGGTCGAGTTCAGCGGCTCACAGATGTAAAATTCCAGCGCAAATGAATTCACCGGCACCTCTGATCGGTAGTTTTCTGTACTTTCTCTGATGAACACAAGGTAAATTCCAGGACAGTACCCTAACAAGTCACGCACCGCGGACGAACGTTCCTTCCGTGTTCTTTCTTTGCCGTTACTTACACACACATACACACTCACATGTACTACAGTACCGCATATGCCGGGAGACCAATGAGATGTTTAGAGCTTGTTCCGGATGGAGCTTTGCCCTGCTTGTGGGGGATTGCGGTTGTCCCCGCCGGATTCAGCGGGGCGCCATCTCACATACTCGTGCACTACATTTACGGGACCAATGACAACAGCCGTGGGCGTGCCCATTATCACTAAACCATCGTGTGTGTGCGCAGGAGGCGGAGTTCGCGTGGGGGTCGGAGCTGCAGGGGCTGCTGCTGAGCGCCTTCTTCTGGGGCTACCTCGTCACGCAGCTGCCCGGGGGCTGGCTGGCCGGGCGGCTGGGCGGGGCGCGCGTGTACGGCGGCGGGCTGCTGGCCACCGCCCTCCTCACCCTCGTCACGCCGCCCGTGACGCGCGCGGGCGGCGCCCCCTGGCTGCTGGCGCTGCGCGTCGTCGAGGGGCTCTTCGAGGTGAGTGTACACTCGCTCGCCTTCGAGTTTGCTTTGTTGCCTTCGAGTTTGCTTTGTTGCCTGTGAGTTTGCTTTGTTGCCTTTGAGTTTGCTTTGTTGCCTTTGAGTTTGCTTTGTTGCCT